GTATCGAACACCTATACATCGCCATTCACAATAAAGCGATCCACATTCTACATTGTAAGACTAACTGGCCAAGGATAATTGACGAAAATTACTTCTTCTGGTGATAAATTAGCCAAACCACCCGTTCTTTGTCGCTTATTCGCGGCTTTGCCGTCACTGTCGCAATTTGGCCGAGGGAGGTTGTGACAGTCACTTGTCGCGATTTCATTTTACGCTCCGTCGCTACTTTTTGAGCCATGTCGCTTGTCGGAATTTGTCCTGGCAGGGCCTCATAATAATCAAGCCATATCGGTGATTGAATAGATTTTCCACAATACCAGCAACATACTTTTAGCATTACTTAAAGTACTATCAGTGATTGCTCCAACTCGGTCGCGTAGTACAATGTTTAATAAACATGGCAAAACTGACAAACCTATATACCCTAATCGCACACAAATAACTAGTTTTCAAAAACCTTTGTGTTTCTTAGAACCCAGCCAAAGCAAAAAAATGACCCTGGAATGGCTCCCACTAGTCAGGACAGTAAAAAGGATTGTGAAGATTGCCATCTCTGGCTCCACCCACCCACCCACTTCCTAACTGTAAAAATACATGATTATTCAAAACGTCTTCTCAATGAACAATACACTGTTCTATTTCAGTTCTTCTAATAAAGCTGATATTACGTGCGTGGTAGTTCTCTTAATCGATTGATATTTCAATTCGTGTATAAAACAAATTTTGCGGTCATTTGACGATATAGCAACACACGGTAACTTCTAAACTCTTCTTCATTGCTATCACGGGTCATAAACGGCTCAGTTTACGCATTTGAGGTTATGATATAGGATCATTTATTTTCTGCGGTAAATCATAAAGAAGCTGAGTAGTTTACAGTTGACGAAATCTAAATTAAATTGAATATTGTGAATACTTTTCAACGTTCCAAAAAGCTGTGAGTGAGCAAATTTAACATTCCAAAATCAATCACAAGCTGTCAAACACGATTTACACTTCAAAAAGCTGACTCTAAGAAAATATTTGAAGGCTAAAATCATAAATTTTCCTTTTCCATTTTTCGTCTCGCGTGATGCATACAAAAAGGGAAATTTAACCCCGGACTGATTGATATAATGAAAGGAAAAAATCAAAGACTTTCGAAGCAATTAGCAGGATGTTTTCTTTCCGGTAACATTAGGAAACAAAGGACTTTGAAACAAAAAAATGATTATTTTCAGAACTGGGCCCTGCCGGACGTAGCTTTTATCGAAAATAAATCAAGAGAAAAAAAAAAGATGTTTAATCACGCAACAGACAAAAAAAACCGGATTTTCTTTTTGTCTTTTGAGTCCGAGAAAGAGACACAAAATGAGCACAAACTAAGTTGTTAGTTGACGAGATCTAGAGGTAATGTTGTTAAACACTTGTCTATGAAAAGAAGTTGTCTTTGTATTTTAGTACATTAAAGCGTATCTTGGTGAAAATAAGATGATATTAAGTGTTGGGTGGTAAATAAGGTTTTGGAACAGACCCAGGTAAGTCACTTGTGATTGATGTCATATTAGAGGTTTATCGTTCAGAAAATCAGCTCTTCTGAAACGAATATCATATTTGAATATTATGAGAAAAAGCGCTTCCGATTCGCATAGAAAAAAAACCCTTTTCGTTTCGCCGACCTGGACAAAAGGATGAAATTCCTAAAGTGCGCCGAGCTACAAAACAAATATTGACAATGGATGGGATTAAGACTATTAAAGCAACGATAAGTGTCATTTCATTCGGTTAAATTCTAGTGGAATATTACAAAAGACGGCGCCGAAAACAATCACTGACGGGTGTCTTTGTGCAAAAATATTTCCTAGTCTGCAAGCAATTATCCGTAAAATCGTGAAGTTTTTGTAAAATCATCAGATATTTTGCATTGACCTCATTTCTGAAACTTTAGCTCACAGTTATAGGCAGAGGCAAGATTAAAAAAAAAAAAGGCAAGTCCGCAAATTCCTGCAAAATTTAAGGAAGATACCAGAGTGTCTTTTTAATGGTCACAGCTTAGGAAAAGACTCTGAAGTAAGAATGACATGGCACACTCGAAGGGTTAAGCTAGTAAATCACATGTTTAAACTAAATGAATGAATCAGCAGTTTGTAAGAACAAATGGTGCAGTCCTTAAAGATCAAAGATGAGAGCGTGCTACTTTAGCCAGGAAACATATTTTAGAATTAAAATAGCAAACGAATTCAGGAAACGATTATCGGCAGCGTTATATCACTCAGTTCCCGGAGAGGCGCCTAAATGTTATACCCTTAAACCGAAATGATTCCAGCGCATGCAACGTAAATATTTACCGCAACCACTGACCGCAACTTAAAATACTTGTTAACAACTTCGCCAAATATAGGACTGGAAGCAGCCGAGTACGTGACTGCAATATTTTTACACACACACACATGTACAGTCGACCGCAAGGTAATCGAATCATGAATTATGATGGATCAAAACAGATTAGAAGCAGTTCATAATTCGGAAATGACAAATTTACAGAAATGTGATTTGCTGTTTCTGCTACCCGCTTCCCAGCGAGAGACAACCGCCAGCAGTGTAATGTGGTCTCTATTGAATTAGCCTGTGCATAAAATTCATAGGTGTGGTCAATAGACACACATATTCCCCATCACATTTAGAAACTTATTTCACTCTGCAAACTTGGCAACATGTCAAGGTAAACAGTTTGCCCATTTCTTGGACGCCCGAGATACAGGAAAGAGGGAGTAAAGGTTATTATTAGGGTTACAACGAGAACGTTATGAAAAGCAGTTCCACTTGAAAGATAGCATCGAAGTCTCCTCTTCAATTCTGTGTTTCTGTGGTATACCACAAATGCTGGGTTAGGTCAGGGACCTTGACAACACAGCTCATCCTCTAACAATAGGCACTCATGGTTTGTTTCGTCTTCACTTTTTTACCCGCACGAAACAAATCATCGAGCCGTTTGCGGTTGCTGGAAATTCTTTTAAATTTAAAAAGTTTTGTTTTAATCGGTAGCATCGTTTACTGTTAATTGCTTCTTTTTCGCCACATAGTATGACGGCTACAAGAGACTCCCGTACGTGTGTTTTCAACTTTTGGCATGGAATAATAAACAAAAATCTATCAACATTGCAGAAAATAGCCCCTTAACATTAGCAAAGTTGCCAAGTTGCAAAAACCTCTGCAAAATATCACGAAGTTGGAGAGATTTATCTTCTCTCATTCTTGACATATCATTCTAAAGTTTTGTTACTTTCAGGCGCTCTTTTCAGTGGTGTCGATGGATTTTTGTTGACTGCATCGGTCAAAGGCAAAGTTGGGAATGATGAGTCAGCTAAAACATGAAAGGACACGTGGCTAAGAAGAGGGCAAATCCACCACAACCAGCTATTTCGAGAAAGGTTGTCGTAAAAAATGTGCACGCGATAATCCCGAAAGGAAACATGGGATATGATCAATACACTGTTCCTGACGATTGTAGCTGTCGAATTTATTTGTGGTGCTTTCCTTTAGCACTCGCAAACATATCTCCACGGCCTCAAGTGCCATTCTTTCAAATTTCTTTGAAGAAAAGTGAACTCAAAACCACCCACAATACCTTTTGGGATTGTCGCGTGCACTTTTTCCGACAACCTTTCTCGAAATAGCTGTATACAAAACAGAATAAAGTGTCCTCTTTGAGACCCCGTTAACACGGGTCCGGAAAAATTTTTGAACGGACAAAACTTACACGAATCCACCTTTCGTTTACACGAGAACCGCGGAACCGTGCAAGTTTTTTACTTTTGACGTGTAAACGGTACTGCAATCTGTAAAAGAATTTGAACGGTACCGTGTAAACAGGTTGCACAGGTAAAAAAAAATCGTCCGTTCAAATATTTGTCCGGACCCGTGTAAACCGGGTGTGCTGAGAATTACATCTCTCCAGTTCAATTTGACATTGACCATGAAAATAAAATAAAAGTAAACAGGACTTTCTAAGTGGCTAATTTCAACGAATACAGCTATTTCTATAATTCCAGAAAGGTTGTCGGAAAAAATGTGCGCGCGACAATCCCGAAAGGTAATATGGGATATGATCAATACACTGTTCCTGACACCGTAGCTGTCGAACCTACTTTTGTTGCTTTCCTTTAGCACTCGCAAACATACGTCCCTGGCCTTATCTCTCGTACCATTTTTTTCAAATATCATTGAAGAACAGTGAACTCAAAACCACCCACAATACCTTTCGGGATTGTCGCGTACACTTTTTTCGACAACCTTTCTCGAAATAGCTGTAAAGCTGTTGATTTTCCCTTTAAGTCCCACAAGTAGAGACCTTTAGATTCTAAGACAAGTACGACAACGAGGACGAGATTTTCTCAGTAGTAAGTAGTAAGCGCGCGTGAACCAGCGTCATTTTGGCGGGAAAACGTGGTAGCCGTTGCCAGTCTACTACGAGTTTTAGCGAGAATGTCGAAGAGGGGAAAACAAGTTATCAAATGTTAGAAGTTCTATCATTTTGCCATCAGGAGAGCGTGTAAAACCTCCTTCACTAAAGGTAACAGTGCTAACCTTTCTAGTGAAAAGTGGTAAAATGAAGCTTTCCGGTAAGTCTATATTTTGAGGGGACGCGAAAAAAACTTTGAGTCAAATCTCGTACTCGTAGTCGCACTCGTCCTTGAATCTATAGGTCTCCAGTGACTAGAGTCAATATGCTCCTAACAGTACACAGAATCAAGAGGTAAAGCAACGACAATTATTGAAATGATCACCTAAGGGAGAATTTTATGATCTTTTGGCAAATTCTCTCAACCAATTTGTTAAGTAAATGTATGGAAATCAGTTTGGAGAATTTGAATCCGGATACTGGGGCTTAAAGGGTTAATAACTTCAGTGCACTAATTTTTTGAAGGAAATGTGTGGAGATCAGTATGGAGAACTTGTATTGGATATTAGGGTTGAAAAGTGTTAACGTAAGCCTGCATGGATGATCCGAAGGAGTGCATTTTTTCACTTATAGATATGGAACATTTTCTCAAGTGGCGACCTTTATCCATGTAGGCTCAGATGAAATGATACCTTATAACAACAAGCCTGCTTATTTCCTTCCGACCCTACTAATGTTTTGGGAATTTCAAATAGAACAGCGAAGTCGCCGAGTCATATACTTCTCCAATTTTGGTTATCTTGAGAAGCAAAGTCTTAACGGAAACCGCAGACGTGAGCACGCAGACGGGCTAAGTGGGGTTTATCGGGTTGTAGTGCACTGTCTGCTTATTCAGGCCTAAGTTTGATAATCGTATTTTAGATAACACTGAAATTAATCATAACATTGTTGTGACTGAAAAAATAAAATGGCATTAATCATACTGGAACTTGCATTTCAAATGGCAAAATGGTTAGAACTTTACACCTTATTTTAAGATTAATGGCAAATGTCTTCATGATAACTGGCCCTCGATGACTCTTTTCAAGGTATCAGTTCTTTTGAATTCTGCACATACAAAGCCTTGGGATCTAAAAGCCTCTGAAAACGGCTTTGACCATACAAGGGTCGGACGGCTATGTCATGCTGATGAACCCTAATGAGGGTGAAACAGCTGTCCATGGCTGCCACTGCCCGGGTGATATAGCTGTGCGCATGGATTGAGATACTGGCTAGGCCGTGGGTTGATGTGCGTGTGTCACTTGCTCCTATAAAGTTTGTCTCCTTGAGGGGTATAATTCTTATTTTCGGACGAACATCCTTGTAACTGTTGTATGGGAGTCACCCACCACATCACACAGGCAGTGACAGCGGCCATCTACAGCTGTTTCTTTCTCTTTAAGACTCAGTAGCAGGGGTAAGCTCTAACCAAGAGGATTCACGTGCGACCAGTCAAGTGCAAAAGCACTTCTTTAAGCGGCAGCTCCACTGTACCCTTGTGGTAGCTGTTGGCTGGGAACCTTAAAACAGTTTTCGGCAAGCGTATGGATGATGTGGCTGTGCGCATGCGTTAGGTACTGGCCAGGCCATGGGTTTGTGTAAGTGCTCCTTGATAGCAGTTTGTCTGTGGAATGCCGGCACTCGATTTTTTACGCAATTGCATAAATTGCGTTCACTGCGACGATCATTTCTTCATTTTCATTTCATTTCAGCAGTCCATATGATTTATTTCATAAAGGTGGTTTTCATGCAATCTCGGGAGACACAAATAACAATGGTGAAATGAACAAATGCTGGTGGACAAACAAAGAGAGCTAATGAGCGATCTTTTGTTTACCGTCCACCAGCATGGCGGCGATGACGTAACGTGAAAACCACCTATATCATTAACACTCGGTTTTTCATTGTACACCAATGGTTACTGAATCTTTCCTTGATGACTGCGAGGGAGGTTTCTGAAACCAAACAAACGTTACCTTAATTTCAATCTCTTCGAAACCCTTTCATTATGAGAATGGGGTCTCCTTCATTGATCATTGAGGTCGGTAGACGTAACTAGCTCTTTCGCCCATATAGTCCCATTGGAGCTAGAACACAAGAAACGTACGGAGACAAGACGAAGTGCTCTCATCATTTAAAACGGTAATCAGTCCTTTGTTTGTCTTACCCCAGTGCTTGATTGACCAACTACAAAAGGCCTATTATAGATGTAACGAACTGGAAAACTGAAACGTCCCTTCTGATGAGAGGGCTGCTGAACGCTGAAGAGTTAAACTTGTGTCTGCTGAAGGAGAACTCCAGCTAGAGCCAGAGCGAGAATTTGGATCTGTAACAACACCCTTGAAACCTGGTGCTTTAAATCATAGCCATGGGGTCAGTTCAGAGATTTGCCGTGAAACGTTCCCGTAGTAGTGGTTGGTGACGAGTGTCCTAGAATAGGTTTGGTGACGTAAGCATTGTTTTAGCATTCTCTTGGGACGACTGTAATACCAATAGAAATTGAAAATTTTGAAACTCTTGCGCAAAAGTTGGGAGGGTACCCAAGGTGTATTATTGGCAATGTGAAAGAGAAGGTTTAACAATAACTAAGTTACCTTGAACAGTTTATCGGTCGAAAGGAGTTTCGCGGGATCCTTGCTTGTTCTGATCCAAACTGTTTAGCTGAAAATTCCAGTAAGAAGTAGCTGAAACATCCTCACGCTAACCTATTCACAATCCTTGTGTCTCGATACTACTTTGTTGATGTTGTGGTTGTCACTCTCGCTATATTATAACATTATCGTCTAACAAGACGCTAGTAATAGAGATAGCTTAATAATTCGACATTGTACAGACTAAAGGCAGTGTTTTCAATATTCTCCTCTCCTAGAAGGACTGCCTGGAACTGTTGCCAGGTTTCACTAGCAAATGAAATTTGAAACACCCTTGATCTTCGGCATCAATTTGTTTAATGTTGTCCAGCGAGCAGTTTTAAGTTGATCGATCATGCAAAGAAACTTTTGAGTCTCTACTGATTAGAAAAGTCTCCATATACGTTAGGACTAAAACGAATTGAACCTCTCAGCACCATAGGGGTCAGGGACCAATTGCATCATCACCACGGTCGATATCCTGGAGTCAACGAGGATTGGCACCACCACCCCTTACTATACATGACCAACAAACTAAAACAATAATAAAAACATGACGGGTGTACAACCTTTTTAGGCCTTTAGGAGAAGATAAAAGAGAAATCAAATCGTTTCAAACGGTGGATTCATTGGCACCATACGCCTTTGGGTATCGCACTTACCCTCTGGCGCTATTTATCGTTATGAGCCTATCCTACATTAGATTATTGACAACTTTCTTCGGGGATCATCATCACCAGGACCTTTTCTCCAAGAAGAAATCAAACGTCGTTATCGGTTATCTGTGAAAGCTGACAGTTTCGTTGTTGCGCACCTCCAGGCATTTTTTTTTTCAAAGAAAAGGCTGCGAATACAAACGTGTTTATATTTGCCTGTAGCATTTTTCTCGATGGAGGAAAAGCCGGGAATAGGTTTGCGTTCGTAGGCTTGCTTGGTAGTGCTGGTGGTGTAAGACCCTAAAGAAAGTTCCACATTCGAGATTCGATATCAACTTTTTTTTTTCCCAGTAAAGGCACCACATGAAACCTACTACATGTAAAACGCAATTTTTACTCTATCTTCAATTCTCTTTTCTCAAAAGGTAACGTTTTAAAAGCATGTGCAACAGGTACTCCTGAAGCTGCCCCGTTCTCAGACATCTCTCTCCCACGGTGGTCCTCAGTTACTCGTCTTTCACTTTCGCCTTTTTCCGGGACCAAAGTGTGGTACGAAGAGTCTAAAGAGGAGGCAGCTGTTGATCAAGTGTGACGATTCCCTACTACTCCAATCTCCTCTGTTAGGCCTGGTTCAGACACCGTACTTTTCATGTGCCGAACCTAACTGCATAAGTTCGGCTTTGGGGCGACACTGGCGCGACATCTGATTCAGACGGCGTACCGTGTGTCGAACCTAAGGGGACTTGACAGAAATTAGCAGGGGGGGAGGGGGGTGGAAACAGAGGGAGGGTCACAACTTTTTGAGACTTAGAAAAGGGAGGGGTCATGAAAAATGGGCCGTTAAAAGGGGGAGGGTCATGCAAATATAGGCCTGTGATCATGTAGAGGTTCACCTGAAGAAGAAAAAGGAAGTTCTTTATTTGGTAAAAAAAAAAAATAATAAAATAAAAAAATAAAGAACAACGGAACATTTTGGATATAAACTGTGAAGTACTATTGCAAAAATTTAACAAACATCTACTTTTCATTTATTACACGGCAATGCTATAGAGTCTTATTGCATTTTTATTCGGAATAATGTTGTTATTAATGTTATTAGCGTTTTGGCTATCCTTTTCATCACTGTCTTCAGCATCACCATCAATGCTGCTGTGAGCATCTTGATCATCATCATTTATGTCATCAGCATTGATACAATCACTTTCATCATCATCATGATTTTCATTTAAGTTGAAGCTTGGATATTGCTGGATAATTTCCTGTTATTCATTGGTGAACAACCCTTCTCAAAGATGTATTGGGTATATGGCCTTTGTGTTTTGAGGAGCCTACTTATTCCTTCATAATGAAGAGATAATGGGCCAAAAGGCTCTGTAACATCATGCGATTCCTGCTGAGGTGCAATGGTTTCAATAACTTTTTTGCAGTTAGCTTCCATTCTTTTTGCCCTAGCTTTTTTTTGCTTTCCTTTTATTTTGTTTTTGTTTCCTTTTTTCTTGTTGGCTTGGAATACTGCACCTTAAAGAGCCTGGAACATTTTTCTTTCAATTCTGTAAGGTGGGGAAGGTCGTGATATTTTAGGCCAAGCTTAAGGGGAGGGTTAGCAAATTTCACTCCCATTGAAGGGATGGGTCACCTAATTTCCTAATCCAAATTTAAACTTCCCACCCCCCCCCTGCTAATTTCTGACAAGTCCCTAAGTTAAGTTCGACAAAAGTTCGACAGACTCTGTCGAACTTAACGCTTTTGCCGCACCAAACTAAAACTGCAGTACCAAATTGATTCAGACGCCGCTCTTTTGCCGTACTTAATTCATCAGTTAGGTTGCACATGAGTGGAGCGGGCGTCTGAACCGGGCCTTAGAGTGGTACAATGGCACTCCGAGTGCTTGTAGGAAGCTTACAATAGATCCTTTTTTGTAATTAAAGAACCTTTAGAATATAATTCTCAAACAATCGGGAAGCAAGCTTCTCAATAGAACAATATAGGAACTGGACGACCTTCAATAAACCAAACATGGTAACTTCTGCTGTGTGGTAGGCAAATTGCTGAAAAACTAATACATTCGCCACTTTAGAAATGACAAGGAAACTGGACCGAGTTAGCTTTCGCAAAGACTTCTGGGATCGTTACTGGTGACGCGCCGGTCAGCTATTGGCCAATGTTTTTACTCTGTCCCCAATAACAGTTCCACAAGTCTTCGCGAAAGTTAACTCGGCCCAGTTTCCTTCGCGTTCCTAAAGTGGCGAATGGCGAGTGCAATTGATGATTCAGAACAAATAGCAACCGTGCTAACATCATGCAATATACAAAACTGCAGGACGAGTATATATGGTCAGCTTATGGTAGCTTTAGACCTTTCATTTATAGAAATGGTAAAAGTCAAAAGTTGACAACAATTCCTAATTTTCCGTGCTAACATCATGCAATATACAAAACTGCAGGACGAGTATATATGGTCAGCTTATGGTAGCTTTAGACCTTTCATTTATAGAAATGGTAAAAGTCAAAAGTTGACAACAATTCCTAATTTCGGTAATGCTGAAGAAAAAAAAAGCACAATGTTTAAGTAGTGAAAAAGTCGAGGTTTAATTTGAATGGTCACTTACATCACAGGATTTCGCCTATAGACTCAAGACTGTAAAGACCCACCTTACAAGATTCCGTCATTCACTCTAGCGGTTATAGAATCAAGTCGAAAAGATAAAAAAATTAATGGCGACATCTATTCACGCAAAAACAAAACTATTGCGTTACCTCGACTGCACTGTGCGAGCTATAAGAAAACCACCGCAGCCTATGTTGCCAATGATCATTTTATATTTTTAGGCACTATATACATTCAAATCTCATAAAAGTTAGATCATCGTCTTAATTCGAGGAGTTTAAAAATTAAAGGAAATAACACAGGTCGAGTCATTTGTTTTTCTTCCTTAATTTTCTCAATTTCTTCAGTTTCCCTCCTTTCTTTTTCTTCCTTTTCTCTTTTCTTTTCTTCTCTCCTCCCGATGATCCTCCTCCAAAGAGGAACGACTTGATGACTGACCTGTTTTCCCACACAGCTTGTGTACCCTTCTTTCTACAACTGAAAAGGTAACAGGAATGATTTAAAGAATTAATTTAAGCCCTAGACAAACCAACTCAGCATTGTTCTAGCCTGCGTGGCTAGAACAAGCTCTTAACGCTTCTCACGCGTCTAAAGTCTGCTTTCTCTTCCCTTTCGAACGCTTGCCACGCAGGCCTACATTGTTCTAACACGCTCTATGTTACATTATTCCTTTAACAAGCTATCTACCTGTCATTAACTTTCAAGTTTCGGTGAGTTTGCACATTGCTTTGATAATTGGCTCCCGGCAGGCTCTCGCTAATCGGTGGGTTGAGAGAAACTGTTTTAAGGTTGCTGTTACATCTTCGACAACACGAAAGTCAAAATACAAAGGATATAAATCGGTAATAAAATATAAAATAAAACTATCGTAGGCCTCATTAAAGAAAGCCCCCCCCTTCCCTTCAATAGTCAACAAACCTATTTAAAAGGCCAGTTCGCGAGAAAGCGACTTTTCCAGGAACATAATTTCCGGTCAAATTACCGGAAGTAGTGGGAAATTCTTGCGCAATTAAAGTTAAAAGTCACCACAGTTATACACCTAATAAAATGTAGTGTTCCTCCTAGACTCAAAGCGACGTTTAATTAGTTAGCCTGTCGCAGATAGCCTTATTCAAACGAAATTGTAAACTTTTGCCCCGGTTGCAAGTACATTCAAATTACGAGCATTATCTTTAAACAGTCACTACAAAAATGCCAGAAATATTGTACACTTTTGTACATTGAAGGCAAATAGAATTAGCCAAAATAAGAATCTCTCAGCTGTTTTGCTTCTTTTGTAAGGATTTTAATAATTTAAAGGAAAAGTAAAAAAATACCCGGAAGAATATAGTACCGAATAATCGACTTGAAATGCGATAAGTCTTGTTTTGCGTTTTCTGAGCAAGAACGTTCAATTATCTCACGATGACAAAGAAGTTTATATATATATATTTTTGTAATCTCTATTATTCACACTCATTTACAGGAACAATACGTTACATAACAATATGCTGAAGAGAAGTAATTAAATATTCACAACACAAAGAGATGAAGTTTCCGTTTCATACTTTGAATTAAAGCAAAATAAAAAAACTTACGATAAAATATGTGTTCGATCGTTAAAAAAATTGTAAAGAAAAATGCCACGATCATTTGTGAAGGCTGATTTATCTAAGGACTCGAAGGATAATACGTGCCGTGATTTCACGAGTTTTTCAAAAGTAAACATTCATACAGAAGCAATGTTTCTGATTCTCTCTTTTAGAGAAACACTAATTTCCTGGCAGGTATCCACAAAGATAAAGGGTTGCCCCGTTTAAGTCCTAAAATACAAGGTGCCATAAAATAACCCTTTGCTATTCGAAAACTAGACCGAATTAATTTTGCAAGATCCTGTCTGAAACAACTACTGGAGAATCTTCTACCTGCAATATAAATTCAAAACCGGAATCATCCGAATATTCGGATAATTGCTGAGTTGAAATCATTCAAATTGGTACCTACTTACGTTTGTGTAAAAAATATAAAAGTGATCGTTAACTCAGGAAATGGCTACAGTTCAAGTTATTTTTGAAATCCTAGTTAATATTCCATTGGATTCTAATTTCTTTAAACTTAAGATATCTTTCGAAGATCGAACACTAACCTAGGGCACAGTGATTGTTCCATCTCCTGCTTTTTCTTGGGATTCAGTCTTGTACCACAAAGTCTGCATCGTTTGCTTTCCGTTTGACCCATCTGTGCTCTTGGTTAAAACATGGATAATAAAATTTCAAAGCAGCGTTTAATCTAAAACTTCAGCGACCAAGTGTGTTTAGTCTTGCGCTCGGCAGAAAGCTTGAAAGGAGAAATAGCTTGATATAGTAAGATGTACAGGTGTTATTCTCAAAAAAAAGTGTTTGTTCAGTTCTTTCCTTTTGTGCTGAGGTCAAATGCGTGATCGAGAGCTATCTGATGATGGCCGGCCGTGTCTTTCTGTTTTCAATGTTGCTGTAATCTTTCTTTCGGGGCCTATGATTTGTCGACGACAGCGTTGAAATATTTATAAGAAAACCACTCGTAACAAACAGCTTGACTGAAAAAAGAACCTTGCTGGGAAATAATCTCTGAATAAAAACATAACAACCATGCACAAAAGCTGTATTCACTTTTTGTCTCCTTTAATCTAACGTTAATCGTCGATGTTTTATTTCTTTCTGGCATTTCACGACTACTGAATTATTTAAAAAGCACAAAATCTTGTAATTGTTTTGATGATGTCAGTGGACAATTGGATTAAACCTCAACGAATCTTCATTCTGTCACTTTTTTAAATAGCTCATAAAAATCTATGTATTGTCCATTACCCATGCTTACAAGGAGGGAGGGTAACCCAGGTGCAAGGTTTACCCCAGCACTTGCACAATTATTATTATTATTATTCATTATTATCTTTAACGTTTTTCCCATGAAATTCTTCTGGTAGACACTATTTGAAGCTGGTGGGGACCTGTTTATCAGGAATTCAAAGATATATTCGAAGAAAATAAGTAGGGTTTTGACAGTAAAAGTAGTCTGCAGTACAGGCGCTTTCTTCTTGCTCTTTTTCTCGTTCAACTTCGCTGGCCTGTCGCCTTCTTTCTCTTTCTCTATATTCCACATTTGTGAACATGACAATTAATCGAAGCTTCATACTTTAAACAACACGAATAACACGAATAACAACACTTTCCATTTTCGTCTTTATTTTTCTCTTTAGTTGTCTCTGCTTTACAAGACGCAAAAAGCTATGCATTTCCCGCCAAAATTACCGAGTTGCATTTGGGTTGTCATACCTGTTGATTGAGGTATTTTACATTGGTTGCCTGTGATGCAGACGGACGGGGGCGTACGGTGACGTGATTACCAAAAGTTCTCGTATGGTTAGATTATCAAATTTTCTTAGGTATGGGGCTACACTCGCGCGTGCGCGGCTCCGCTAGAAAGAAAAAATATTGTGATCGATTTTGTATTGAATTGCAACTGCACTAGCAACATAAAGTCATTACATTTCTTTACTTACCTTTTATTCCAGTACTACGTTCTTTTTTCAAAATGACTTAAAGTAGCCTGCACCTTCCTTCACAGCCTGACCACTAATATACAGATTTCGCCAGGGCTAAAAGCGAAGCTCTGGTTAATAATACTTATTTATTATATGGCCATGTCTCAAAAGGACTGGAAACAAACAAATTCAAGAATTTGATTGGCTAAAATCGATCTTGAGCGCGGTCTAGATTTTCCCATCTAGACCGGCATCTAGACCGATGTTGTTGTAACATACAGTTGTCCTAAAAAAGTTACAAACAAAGAATATGAAAAAATTGGCTTGTTCCTGTTAATAATACTAAATGGAAGAATCAGTGGACCTTCACGAGGACGCAGGTAAAGAAGACGAGCAAACTACGAGAAAAGATGAAGTCGAAATTGAGAAATTTTTGCAGGAGCAGAAATCAAAAAACACTCAATACAAGACTAAGAGCGATTTAAACGCATGGAAGAAATTTTGTGAGTCACTGAAAAAGTCTAGAGCAATTGAAAACATATAGTCCAGTCAATCTAGGCATTTTTGAGGCTCAACATCAAACTTATTGCAACAGAATTGTTTTCAACGCCATCGCCACCGTTCGGTGCAAAATATCAAAATTAAGCGTTAAACATTTTGAGCTTTTAACACAGGGCACAAAAAATGCACAAAATGTGTTTGTTACTTTTATGGAAAAGTGAAAGAAGAAAGAATAACTGCTACCTAGTTTTCGGTGATAAAAACATTAAAAACGAAGAGTTTCCTTTTTTCAAACAAAACAAACATTAAACAAGGTTGGCTTTTGCACAGGTAGCCCATGCTCCACTCAAGGAACCGCAAAATAACAGGAGGCTTACAGAGTAATAGAGTGAACTGTTGGCTGTAAAACTACAGCAAATTTAGTCGTAAGGCTTTAAACCTGAAATATGAAAGCCTTTACTTCATTATTAGCGTTAAAATATATTAAAATTAAAATATATCCTTTTTCATCAGATTTCTGTTAGCCGCAAGGGTAAGAAAGAATTATATATATTACAGCTGGATTTTTTACTAACCTTACAGCTAAAATAGACCTCTCTCCTCAAACAGTCTTTTTCTTTCAAAAACTATTTCCAAAGAAGTCAAAATAAAAACTAGGAGTGCAGCCATTGCTTTTTTTTCTTCTCCTCCTTTCTTTCTCCGCGCTCATTTTATTTTCCCTTTCCTCGTTCTTTTCTAGCAGGACTTTCTGGCTTATTTTGCCTTCGGTTTTGGTCATTTTCTCAGTCAAAAGACTGCAATTTTCGTTCGGTACGTTTTCAAATATCCAGCAAGATAATGTTTTCGCTTTTACGGTTACCTTTACATTAATTTTCGTTAACGTATCGACATCCTCAAATATACTAATTTCACTTTTTTGAAGCTTTTTGTTTTCTTCTTGTTAAGTGAATTGGAGAAGAGGGGGGTATTGTTTTACTAATTCTTTACGATGCACAACAATGCAAAGTTTTTGAACAAGTTAAGCTCCAATGCCTATGAGTTTGATAAGAGGGAAATGCGTTTTCATGGAAAAGTGTAGTTACCTTTGCAAAAAAAAAAGAAAGGGTTAACGGAACATTCATCGCATAAGGACTTTCGTTCCAGCAAACGTTTGTTTCAAGAAAACGAAATAGTATAATAGGGAAGCTTGTTTTTAAGGGAAAGATTAACTCTGGGTAGCCAAAACAATGCTTATGTAAAAATATCTTGTAAGAGTCTATGGAGTAATGGAAATTCCCCACCCAGAGCATAATTCACGCAACTCAGTCAGAAGGTTAACATGCACTAAGTTGAACTGTTACACAACGCTCATCCGAAGAGAAACATTGGTTCCGCAAAAAGAGGTGAGCCATCAGAAGTTAAGTCAGGCAAGCCCAGTAATGTCGTACATATGTCTAGTACTTTCGCGCCTTCATTGACAACTGCGATTATTTTCAGACGTCTAGGATACCATGATCGTTATAGAAAAAGAGGTCTTCATTTGCCAATTGACGAAAAAAAAACTGATCAAGGTTCAGGGTTTTTCTCACAAAAAAAATGCAAGGAGGGATTATAAACGCCTTTAGACCACAGAGGGATTAATCTACTTATTCATCTTACCAAGAAATGAAGGGCTGTCGCGGAAAATACAAACTGCATACACAAATACACTAAACTAAATCTGAGACTCGCTACAAGAAGAAGATAAAAAAAAAAGAACAATCACACTGCGCTTGGTTTTCTGGATTTCCCTTACAACAGAATGAAAAGCGCAGAGCGTTACGATCTAGCATAAACCAAATCGACAGAGTCCTTAGCAGAATATTTATTCATTCACATTGTAAAGCACGGAGTCATAATGCTAACGGAGGTTGCGCATGTCGCGAGAAAAAAAAAGAGTCCCTTATTTCGATCACACAGACTGTGTCCAAGGTTTGAACATAACTCCGTCACAAAACTCAATTACACAAAATGGGAATAGGTTAAACAGTTTTTAATTTGTACTGATACAAAGCTATCGTCCGTTGCACACATTTAGTCGGACGCATCTTGCAGCAAGGATGCAAATTTAGTAGCTAACCCAAGGTGATCAAAATAACTGTTCACCATCAGTCAGCTACTAAATTTGCATCCGTGCTGAAGGAAAAATACTTACTGCATTTCTGATATTGCGCAAAAAAAAACAAATTACTAATTCCCTTTTAAATACTGTAATAGAAAAAAAAATTGAAGCTTGGAAAACAGAAGGTGAGGACAGACGAGTGGCTGGATAACCTCTGCAAAGCCCTCAAGACGAAACAATGACCCAGGTGTTCCTCACATTTAGTCGGCGTGCTTTTAAGACAAAACTAACCAAAATACATTAGCAATGTTGTATCGAAAATTCTTGAGGAAAAAAACGCAATTATCAGATGTTGTGTCTGAATTCGTGATCTTCCTGAAACTGGGTGTCCTGTGGTGAAAGTTGAAAATCTTTATTTCCAATTTTTCTTATCTTTCACTGAACCGATTTTGGCGGATTTTTAGTATGTTGTTAAATAGCCATCCAACAATTAAATGGCGTTGAAAAAAAAATTCTGTTGCAATTATTTTGATGCTAAACCTTAATTTGACTGGACTAATACCTGCCAATGAGCTCGACCTTCTTTTGTCCAAAATTTTCATCTCCGTTCGTAAACAAAATGGCACTGAGTACGAGCCGGGTACTTTAAGCGGCTTCCAGTTTTTTGACACAAACAAAAAGGTTTCTAATCACTCCGTTAAAGACCAGTGTTCGACGACTTCTCGAAGCAGACGTTCAGCCAAACTTCGTTGCACAGCTAAGCGGTCACAAAAATTTGAAAAGCCTCGACAGCTACCATTCAGCATCTCTGAAGCGACAGCGAGAAATGTCTGCTGAATCGTGAGCCAGATACATCCGATCAGTCCGGAGAAAACCAAGTCAGTACCTCCACTACAACACAGCAAAATGTCTTCAAAGTCCAACAAATTCAGCCTCAGGCAATTTTTGCCGGAGCGCATATTGACAAGTTCGAAGGCCGCACATTTAACATCAACGTTTTCTGTGGTGATCAGTCGAAGATCGCAAGACTGAATGAGAACTGATCGCTGAGCGGTCGAGGCACAAACAGGTATTACTTACATTGCAGTTGCACTTTTCACAAATTGTTGTTTCAACCACAAGCCTTTTCATTGAACCTGTATGAAAAATTTTGTCTCCATTCATTGACGAAGTTACCCTGCGAGCAGAGTCTCCTTCGATCTTCCTGAATAAGTCGGGAAGAGGAAGGAACCTCTGCGACATCCTCGACAATTCATATTGAGCATGCTCCAAATTCAAATTTTTCTGCGACGTCAGTCAAACCGTTACCGTAGCATCCACTGTGTTTGTCAGCAAATGTAAATGTTAGCGGGAACGTACCGGTTCGTTGTG